TGTGTGTGTGTGTGTGTGTGTGTGTATATATATATATATATATATATATATATATATATATATATATATGACACGGGTATGAACCAAGTAGGAATACAGTTCATCGGTGAGTAATAAGTTCGGTACATACGCCGTGCCCAGAATCAAGTGCTTCCGCAGGAAGTCTGCCTGGCGAATAACCAGGCGAGTTGTTAGCAACGGACACCGTCGTTTGTTACTTCGCATGTCACAAGCTTTCCCGCCCATGCAGCACCCGGTGTGTACCCTCTCTCCGCTGAAGAGAAATGAAGTATGCAGGGTTAAAATTATGTACACCAACAGCGCCTGAGATAGACACTGATACTGATTTCCGGCGTGTGTATTGTGCTCAGCAAATTAGAAAACGGCTGATCGCCCCTATTCAAAGTATTCACCCCCTTTCTGCCACAGAAGATTGGGGTATGTGAGAATGTTTGTGAGTACAGTAAATTTCTATGTGTTGTATTGCACATCAGAACAATCTGTTGTTGCGTGATATACACCACATTGCGATGTGTTCGTATATTACATTGCTATATGATAGTACAACACAATGCCAAGTGGAAGTGCTGTACATTGTATTGCTATATATTTGTATTGCGCAATATATGTAAAGATACTATGCATTCTTTGCTGCGTTCAGTGTTTCAACTGCTCCTCTGAACTTACACATGTCTCAACTCCCATATAACACCCAATGCATAGCCTAGTTGCACTGTAACACATTTATGTTTGTGAGGGTGGGCTACTATAACTATGCCTAAACCCTAAAACTCTAAAATATCAGACCAAGTTCAAGCCAACTCAAAGACATTTCATCCGATACCCTTTTTTTGCCCAATTTTTCTTAGTTTTTGTGTGTTAAATTGCCAGGAACGACATATGTAGTCCAGTGCACACACACACACACACACGCATACATACCTTCACACTAATCACACAAATCACATAATATGAATGCCTACGCAGATATTGACACACGTGAAGTCCGATGTGAGTATAATAACTATCAAACATAACAACTAATCAATACCTGTGAAGTGGGGATCGGTCGTGCGCCCGACATGGCTCTTCTTCTTCGCTGTGTAGATCGATGTCTTTCAGTGAAGATGTAATGGACACAGGGGATGCACTGTCACTGTCACTGAGCTATAGCACAAACGAACAAGAACTGTACGTCAATAGTGTGCTCGAATAGGTTGATTTGCAATGAGTATAGGAGGGGTTGAGATATAGTTGGTGTCGAATTCACGTGTTCTGCTAAGTGTAGATGCGTGTCTCTCAGTAGCGATGGGATGGATAGTGGGCGTTAGTGCGCTGACTATACAAATTTAATGAGACTCCGGTATACCAGAAGTTATCCGTCCCAGGCGATTTCCAGGGGCTATGTGACGCACCCGGCATAGCGGTACAAGGTGGTAAAGTCAGCAAAACTTGCAGCGTGTAATGTATATCTATAGTGGAATGCTATATAACTATAGTGGAATGCTATATATCTATAGTGGAATGATTTATAGTGGAATGCTATATATCTATAGTGGAATGCTATATATCTATAGTGGAATGCTATATATCAATAGTGGAATGCTATATATCTATAGTGGAATGCTATATATCTGTAGTGAAATGCTATATATCTATAGTGGAATGCTATATATCTATAGTGGAATGCTATATATCTATAGTGGAATGCTATATATCTATAGTGGATACCATATATCTATAGTAAAATGCTATATATCTATAGCGGAATGCTATATATCTATAGTGGAATGCTATATATCTATAGTGGAATGCTATATATCTATAGTGGAATGCTATATATCAATAGCGGAATGCTATATATTTGACCATATTCATCACAACACATGCCTTGGGCATCTGTGGACCTATGCTCTCCATGTCTAGCGGTGGATCTACTAAGTCTTCATCAGAGCTCGCTAGCTCCACAGCCGTAGTCATGGCAACGCCGGCTGTCTGTGCATCAAAACCTTTGGCGGGACTGCCATTGATACTCACCACCTGCTGACCGAAATGCAGACCTGTAGGAGAAGAACGAAGTCGCATAAATGAACCGTCGTATACGCCTTCGTGATTCGTTATGGACACTAAAGCTTTTCTGAAACAACAATAGGTATCACGTTATAAGATAGTATATAGAGATACGTGCTGCTGCACAGTGATACCTTTACCACAGCCGGTAGTGCATATGATATGCTATAGGCAAGATGTGCATCCCAAACAACAGGCTGGCTATACTTGGTACACACCTGCAAAATCAGCCGGGGACTGTGGTATTACGTGGACCACATATAACTTTTCTTTGTAGGCCACAAAGGTCGCGCCAAAGCGTTCGTCCCCACTGCCTCTTTGCAAGGTGACCTGTGTCGCAGACAAATGGGCTTTAACCGATGTATATTGGGCCAATACAAAGGAGCAATATACACGTGTACTGGAACGCATGCATTTTTTTTGAAATACGAGAACATGATTGATAACACTATGATGCAAATGCAAGTTTGCTTTTGGACGCATGATACAGCGAGCTATTTGGAAGTTGTAAGAACTGATACTGCTGATCATGGTTCCCGCATACACTCAATTATAGTATGCAACTACCATTCGCGAAATCTTCGACTGGGTTGAAGTTAAAACACTCTTATGCACCGTAAGTTTATTACGTACGATACAGAAAGTTTACAGGGAAACATCATTCTGACCGCGATTATGATGGTATGTCATAGGTGTTATACTGTCATTTTTCGAGATTCAGTCATACCTCTCTGTCTCTATACGCTCCACTCAGCGATGATAGTCCAATATTCTCAAATACAGATTCGTACTGCGAATCTTGTTCAAACTCTTCATTGAACAGATCAAGAGATTTGCCGGAGAGGGGTGTCATGAGGCCATCGCTATCGCCGCGTCTGTCCCAACCCAGCGTTCCTAGTTGAAACAATTGAGCATGATTCGAAATGGGATTATGATAGCGGAATTGTCGATTCAAGCTAACAGTTGCTCACGTAACGCGACGGAATTGTTTTGTTACGATACATATAAGCCGGAAAAAAATGCTTTACATTCGTCGATTCAAGCTAACAGTTGCTCACGACCCGCGATTGAATTGTTATGTTAAAATACATAGAAGCCAAAAACAAAAGCGTTACGTTTCAGGGTATACAGCTACAATATGCCCGGACACGTGCGGCAACGTAAATTATAGAGCGATTTCGAAGTTGATGCCAAGCAGCAACGTTGGCCGTATTCATTATTCACCGACAACACAAGTATTGAATTTTAATAGATGAATCTTGGCCTATGAAAAACCAGTAAAGTCTCGTAAGTTTTGAATTACCTGAACTTGAGTAGCTGGATCCCGTAGTATACCTGCGGAAGGGCTCACCATCTTCATCAATATCGTCCGACAGTGGTAGCTGTATAATATAATATTCGTAAAGTAGAGAGAGAGATTTATTGGGAAGTATTGGCCTTTTCAATAAATGTACATTCATTCGCAATTACAGCATATAAAAACCAATTG